AAGAGATACTCCTGGTGACAGAAATGTTGTTTTCTTATCAGTTATGTATTCGTTTTGATGGTGTACTACAGTTTTGCAAAATATTACCACTGAGAGAAACTGGATGAAGGGAGTGGCAGATCTCTGTTCATTATTTCTGAAACTGCATGTGAATGTATAATGATCTCAAAATCAAAGCGTTTAGTGGAAAAATAAGGAATGACTGCGGTAAAGAGATGGAGTTAAAGAAGCATAAATGCACTAAACGGCACCCATGATCAAGAGAATGAGTGAGGCCGGGCACGGTGGCTCACGCCTGTAATCGCAGCACTCTGGGAGGCCGAGGCGGGCGGATCACAAGGTCAGGAGATCGAGACCATCCTGGCTCACATGGTGAAATCCCGTCTCTACCGAAAATACAAAAAATTAGCCAGGCGAGGTGGCGGGCGCCTGTAATCTCAGCTACTCGGGAGGCTGAGGCAGGAGAATGGCGGGAACCCAGGAGGCGGAGCTTGCAGTGAGCCGAGATCGCACCACTGCGATCTCGATCGAACCGGGGGGACAGAGTGAGACTCCGTCTCAAAAAAAAAAAAAAAAAAAAAAAGAGGGAGAGAATGAGTGAAAAAAAGACAAAAATGGAGGGGAAAAAAGAACCAAACTGAGAAAGAGAGAGAGGGAGAGGAAGAGAAAGGAAATAAAATGTGACGGAGCATGAGTGTTTAGGAGGACACAGGGGCATTGAAGGAGACGCAGGAGAGGTGGTTGGGGCTGGGGGCAGCCGCAGGCCCAGGCCTCCCTCCCTACTGCCCTGTGTCTAGCCTTGGCTCTCTCCTCTCCAAACCACTCCCTGGGCCCCTTCTACCCTTTCACCAGCAAACCTGTTTCTCAAGCCCCCTTAGAAGCCTTCCCTGCTCCCCCAGGGCAACCTGCCTTCACCCCTGCGGCTCCGGTGCCTCTCCCTAAGGGCACGCAGCACCAATGCTGGAGTCTCTCCGGGCAGCTCTGCCGCCCCCAGGCAGTGGTCTGAGAGCTCCTTGGGCCGGTGGCAGGCCTGGTGTGTAAGATCCGCCCCCCTCCCCCGTCTAGCTCAGGTGCCTGCACAAGGTCTGGCCTGTGATAGGAGCTCCCTACTCATTTTTTGAGGGAGTTCATCTGGAGAAGGACACTTCACAAAGCAACCTGACTTGGCTGGGGAAGCTTTCATACTGTGACATCCAGTGGTCCGGTTCCTGGGGCCTGGCACCCATGGCTTCTGCTGGCACTGCTGGACAATCCCCCTTGCTGGAGCAGAAGCAGCACCTCCCACTGCCCCAGGCTCTAGGCACCAAGTCCTCAGCAGTGCCCTCCTCCCTGGAGTTGGGGGAGTGGGGGGCACACTCTAAGGGGGAGACACAGGTTTGGTCCCAGGAAGCATCTGAGGTCCTCTTGGTTCTTGCACTGCGCCCCACTCCCATTTTCCTTTCTGAGCAGCAGGAAATAATGTAAGATGATAGCATTGGACCTCCCTGATTGTAAAGTGGGGTGCCTGAAACCTGAGAGAAGGTATAGTGTGGGCAGCACACCCAGTCCCGGACCACCAAGTCAGAGGGGATGAGAATGAGACTCTGAGTTTGCTCTCTCCTTCCCTCCCCAACCCCTCCATTTCTCTCCCACCCTCACCCTTTCCTGCCCCCAAACTCTCTGGCCATCCTATTGATTGATCCCTGGTGACCAGGAAATGCCATTGCCACCCGCCAACTGGTCAGATGATCCATGACCTTTGCCCTCAGCTTGCTCTGGTCTGGAACGATAATGGATGTTAACAGTTTAAGCACTAGCCAGGATCTCCAGGGTCACATGTTAAAGCTTTGGCTCTACCATTTAACTTAGCACGGCTCTTGGCAAGGGTTCCCGCCATCCTGGGCCCTGCTGACTAGAATAGCTCCCTTATCAGAATGTCAAGGTAGGAGGAGCTAGATAAGCTGCTGCTGCCCAGGCAGGGCCTTCAGAGGCAGCCGCTCACGCCAGCCCTGGCTGGCAGAACGTCAGAAGGGGAAGTTGCCCACTCTGTTTTAAAACAATTCCAGAGAAAGCCACTCCACAAGTGTTTTTGAAAAATACACTCAGGTATTCTTATTCAAATACCTCACTACATTCCTCTGAACTGGAACTCCCATTCTTCTTGTTTTTTCTTTAGAAAAAAAAAACCAGAAAGATTTCTCCATGTCTGACAACTATCTTAACAGTTATCTGATGACGGATCCACTCTTGGAACACACTGCCAGCCCTCAGTGACCTGTCTATAACTCACACACAGTGAACATTTTCATCCAAAAATAGCCCCTTTGAGCTACCTATGGAGTCCCTGACCCCTGCCTTCTCTCCACCATCCTTCCACCTCCAGCCTAAATGGTCAATCAGTATTGGCTCAGAAAATGCAAGTTTGCTAATATTCTCCTAAACAAAAAGCATCACCCTACCCCAACGATCACATTCCAAGGTTTTCAAAAATTAATGATTTCTGGCACATGATAGGTGATCAAACGAATGGTTGTTGAACCAGAAAAAAAACCAACAACAATGCAGAAGTGGATGCAGTTTTCAAGTACATGAAAGCACAGCACACCCGTTTGTGGCTTCGCCCACAGCAGGCAGGAAGAATCAGGTGATTTGAAGGGCAAATGGGAACCAGAGACTGGGCATTCTAGTCATTTCTTCCCTCTGTGGGGGTTTGCTTCATCACAGATGACTAGAGCAGGCTTCAGAGTCTCCCAGATTCCCGGACAAGAAACCCAGTCTGGTGCTTGCAGAAAGCCCCAAAGGGATCTTGCTTGGCACCAGGGACAGCGAGGCTGAGGAATGCTGTGACAGAGCCACACACATGGCTCTGCTGGAGCCACAGGCAACGAGCTCTGCACTGCTCAGGACATGCCAGCTGACTCCGGGGAAGCCATGGTGGGGAATCCTACTAAGAGCTAACTTCATCCCAGAGAAGACAGCTAAGCTTTGGGGACAGCCCCAGGCAGAGTGAATGTGGCCCAGGTTCTCTTTGACCCCCTCACCCTTGGCTCCTCCTTTAGCTGGACTGCTCCCTGGATGGAGCACGTTCATTTTCTGCTGAATGCAGGCAGGCTGCTTCAATCCACATGCTGCGTGCGAGTCATGCCAGCGGTTTCTAGCAGCTTTTGGAGAGGCCAGAAAACAGCTACCCCTGAGTGGCTGGTTCCCTTTCTGTTGGAGAGCGGGGTCTAAAACATTGTTCTGGGGACAATCCTTGTGCTTTGTGGAATGTATAGGCAAATTCTCCATCCTTTCTTTCTCTTTTTCTTTTTGAGATGGGGTCTTGCTATGTTGCCCCAGTTGGTCTTGAACTCTTGGGCTCAAGTAATCCTCTCACCTCAGCCTCCTGAGCCAGCAAGTTCTCTATGTGCTGTTTCCTCTCTTTCAATGGTGGCCCTGCTGCTGCTCTTCCAAGAAGCACATACCCTGTTCCCTGGGCCTCCCATTAAAGGCCTCATGCCTTTAGGCAGAATGGTGCCATCTCAGGTGGGCTCCATAGATAGTTTAAAATGCCAGCCAAGCAGACCAAGCACTTTATGCCAGAGTCCAACCATGGGCCTCTAACTCCCACATCATTCGCTCTGCCCTGTTCATTCCTCAGATTCCAGGAAGCCTTAGGGCCTCATTCAGCCAGATGATGCGATTTACACCTGGCTTTGAGGAAAAGCAGGGACATGGGAAGACCAGAGCAGCTTTCACAATTAGCTTTTGTTAGTGGAAAGACCCTGGATGTAAAGCCAGAGGACAAGAGTTTTGGAGATAACAGTGCTGCTGCCACTTAGTGCTCGGAATCCTGTTACCCTTACTCTCACCTGTAAAACAGAAGAAATAAGCTCTGCCCCACAGGACTGGTGTCAAGATGAACTCATGTAAATGTATCTAGCTCAGCACCTTGGTTTCGTAAATATTAGACTTTTCCTCACATGGACAAGTGCTTTGGGAACCAGAAAGCCCGATAAAGCATGGCTTATGATGAAAACAAGGTATGTTTTCGAGTCATATCTAGGAGAGAATCTCCGTTTATGAGCTGTGCACCTGAGGCAAGTTGCACAGCCTCTCTGGGCTGCAATTTTTCACCTGGAGAATGAGGATGATAATCTCAGCTTATTAAAAGGATTGAAGCAGAGTAAAATGCTCAGAATGTTCCTGTTGATCTTCTTCTGGTGTTTGAAAAGGCTCCTGGAACAGGTTCTGGGCTGGCCTTGCTCACCCTGATGTTCAGGGTAGGCCCTAGAACTTTGGGGGCTGGACCTGAGGACCTCCACAGCCCCCGGGGCAGGGGAGCCCTGCTTGAGGGAAGGCGCAGATAAAACCAGGGGCCAACAGCTCTGCAGGAAGAAGCACTGACTTAAAGAGAAGGGGAGCAATGACAAGGCCGCCCTTCCCTGTTCCCTATCCTCTGTCCTCACAGCCTTGACCCCTGGCCTTTCTGAACCCTTTGAAAGCTGTTTAAAAGGAGATAGGGAGGTACGCAGGAAGTGACTCGGGCAGCGAGAGGGGCAGAAATCACAAGGCCGTGTTTCCAATTTGGCCACACTTAAAAGAGAAAGCAAGATTAGGCTGGGGATCTAAGGCTGAGGGGTGCACCGCCCCCACCCTGGCCCTCCCTGCTCCCACTTGAAGGAAGAGTCCTACCAGGTGAATAATGTCCTCCCCAGCCCACCCACTCCTGGCCACTGTTGCCTCTCAAACCACTGCTGGGAGATCTGGGGCACCCGCAGGTAGCCCTGGTCTAGTGCCGGACGTTAAGGTGTTTATGGCCGGGCTCCCAACGCCCAGGGCAGCCTGCAGCCACGGAGATCTCCAATTTCCTGGCTAAACCTGGGACTTGCCCTAAGCTTTTCCTTATCCCCCCTGGCTACCAATCTAGCAGGTTCCCTGTGAAAGCCTGCTGCCGGGCGATGGACACCTGAGGGTGTCATCCTGCCCTCCAGAACCCGCGAGCTGGGGGAGAAATGGAGGAGGAAAAGAAGGCAACTTACTTGTTGAGATCAGAGCTTCGGAGTCCCACTGATGCTAACTTCTGGGGTGTCCCTTAGCAGCAGTGCAGGGGTGCTCAGGGCTTTTGAGGGGACTCCCCAGCCCCTGCCATGACCCCACGGAGGAGCTGTAGCTGGAACCTCCCCCTGTCGTGGGGTCCTGTGGGTACAGGTACTTAAGCCATCCTGTCCCTTCACTCGCGGTCCCTTGGGTCACTCCCTTTCTCTAGCGAGAGCAGCTGCTGGAGGCAATCTCTCTCTCTCCTCTCTCTCTCTCTCTCTCTCTCTCTCTCTCTCTCTCTCTCTCTCTCTCTCTCTGTGTGTGTGTGTGTGTGTGTGTGTGTGTGTCCCCTCCTCCCTCTCCTCTCTCCCTCTGTCCCTGGTACAGATGAATCTCTGGGTAGTAACGCGACTGGAAGGGCCACCGGCATTGGCGGGGGACGGGCTGGGGTGGGGCGGGGGCTCCATGTGATCGGGGACGCCGTCAGCTCGTTAGGACTGGGAGGGAAGAGGAAGGCGGAGAGAGAGCCCGGCAGGCATCCAGCCCTCGCGTCCCCGCGGCCCCCTGCGCCCTCCCCCGGCTCCCCCTGCACCCGGCTGCACCCCTGCTGCAGGGTGCCGGGGACGGAGACCTGCGCGCGCGCGCGTGAGCGCCCCATGCCTGTGTGTGAGCGCCGCGTGTGCACGCGTGTCTGTGTGTGAGCGCCGTATTTAGTGGGTGCGGTGGAGCAGACAGAAAGAAGGGAGAAACTATTAGGGCAGAAATCTTGGCTCGTAGCCTCGGCGGGGCTGCTCAGTGGCTCTGCGGTGCGCTAAGCTGGCGGTTGGCAGCATTTCGATGTTTCCCGAGAGGGATGGAGCAGATGGGGGAATTCCTTTGGGAAGGCGGGGGAGCCACAGTCTGGGCACTACATCCCCCGCGCGACGGCTCTGGCTCCCGCAGTGGAGTGAGGGTCCGGGGGCCTGATCCGCCAGCTGCAGGTGGAGTAGGTCCAGGGACAGGACCCAGGCCAGCTGTCCCCGGGCTCGCTGCTCCTCCCGGAAGATCTCTCCCTGGCGTGCGGCGGTGGCTGGAAACGCGCCCTGCAGGGACAGGAGGCCGGAGCAGCCCGGAGGGAACGGAGCTCAACCTTGCCCAGGCGTGGGCAGAGTCGGTGTGCTCCGCGCCACCTCCCGGCTCTCGCTTGTGGATTCCTCCCTGCCTTGAGGACAGATGATGACCAGAGTGTATTCTTTAATTCGTGGAAGCCGTAGGAAAGGCAGCTGCCAGGGCAGGCTAAAAGGGAGGGCTGCTGTCTGGGGAGGGCCAGCAGGTGCCTCTGAGGACAGGTCTGTTCAGGGTGGCCCTTCTCACCCTGTAATGTTCCTTCTGGCCCTCTCTGTTACCCAGCCTTTTGGGGTCAACACCCCCCATGCCAGCCCCCTCTCTCAGGGGCAGACACAGCTTGGTCAAACGTGGGGTGTCCCCAGCACCTAGCACAAGTGCTAAGTGAATGATGTCTACAACCAGAAAACTGGTTTATTACATTGCAATGAGAAAAATGCGTGTCACTAATACTGGAGGGCACCAAGTCCATCCTCCCCTGTAAGCGCAGTGACAGGGAAACTTAGTCTCTAATAGTGGCCTGGGGGTCCTCTTGCCTTGGAGACCAGTGTGCACACAGCCCATTGCCCAGGCACCCTCCCCTGGGACAGAGCACAGAGCCATCCTGCCAGAGTGGGCCTCCTGGATGCCCCTCTTCTCTCTGTAGAGGGGGTGATAACTAAATGTGGCCGCAACAGGCCCTGACTAACAGGAAAGCTCTGTGTCCACTTAGGGGATTCAGCTTGCCTAGGTGCTCACGCACTGCACCGTACGTTGCTTGATCTCAGGGCTTAACACTATTGAGGAGAAAGTTCTTAATTCCCTAATTGCCTAGTTCTTGGAAGAGGCTTTGTCTGTGCAGTTCTCAGGTTCAGATAACACACACTATAATCTTGTGCTGAGCCCTGAGGAGGGCTCTGTCGTGGGGCAGCAGTTGCTTTTGGATCAGGTATAAAGACCATGATAGTCCTTCTGCCATTATGGGTGGGGGTAGGGGGAGCTGGACTGACTTTAAAGCAAAATATAGGGTACTCTGGGAAACACTGCTTTGCAAAGATTCTCTCAGGGATGGGACCTTGGATCAGGAGACAGAAAAATTTGTGTCCAGGTCTCACCTGAGAACTGAAAAATGAGAAATTTGGGGATTCTAGTCCTGACTGATCGTTGCAAATTTAGGGGAGCTTTAGCTTCTCCATGCCCAAGCCTCTCAAAGAGCACGGATAACATTTGAGGATAGAAATGCAATAAAAGAACTACTCAGGGAGCCGTGCAAGGTGCTAAGTGTGTCTTTCATTGTCTGAAAATTGATGAGGCGGCGCTTGAAAGCAACAGAAAATGTGTATGTATTATCACTGTTAATTAGAGTACAGCCCCACCTCTTCTGTTCCCTTTATCTGCTTCTCTTACCTTCTTTCATCGAGCGGGAGATGGGTTCACAATTAAAGATGTTCTCTTTAGAATATGAGACTTGCAGAAAATTATTTTTTCTCCTATTTATAGAAATTCTATTTGCATTTATGAGGCTGGTAATGTCTCATAAATATTTCCTGTTAGATAAAATATTAATTAAAGGAGTTTGTTGAGTTATACTCTGAAATCCCAACTAAATAGCTTCTAAAACAAATATTTTAAGCATTTTCTCTCATGTCAGGAGAATTCTTCATACATTCTTTGTGTATGTTAATAAGCTCATCCGTAAACAGCAGATATCAATCAAGTAAGGACATAATATTTTGCATTTTTTTAATAAGTAAGGACATATTATTTTGCATATTTTAAAAACTGGGTGGCAGTATTATGTTAAATAAGATATCTTATTTACTTACAGATATTTATCAAGTAAGGACATATTATTTTGCATATTTTTTATAAGTAAGGACATATTATTTTGCATATTTTTAAACTGGGTGGCAGTATTATGTTAAATACATTTATTTATTATTTAAATAAGTAAATAAACTAAATAAATAAACTTATTTAACATAATACTGCCACCCAGTTTTTTTTTTGTTTTTTTTTTTTTGAGATGGAGTCTCGCTGTGTCGCCCGGGCTGGAGTGCAGTGGCTGGATCTCAGCTCACTGCAAGCTCTGCCTCCTGGGTTTACGCCATTCTCCTGCCTCAGCCTCCCGAGTAGCTGGGACTACAGGCGCCCGCCACCTCGCCCAGCTAGTTTTTTGTATTTTTAGTAGAGACGGGGTTTCACCGTGTTAGCCAGGATGGTCTCGATCTCCTGACCTCGTGATCCGCCCGTCTCGGCCTCCCAAAGTGCTGGGATTACAGGCTTGAGCCACCGCGCCCGGCCACTGCCACCCAGTTTTAAAAAACAAAACCAGGCATGGCCAACACTGCCAGATCCACATGGGATTACCTCCTCTTCCCTCAGGAGAGGACCAGCCACCTGAGTTTGATGTTTCTCTTTCCCATAGCTTTAAAAATGCTAAATGGACACACACACACACACACACACCCCTACACCTACACCTACACCTCCTCAGTTAGTGAATACTAACTGTATGTAAGTATTTTTATGTCCACAAACTCTTGGTTGATACAGGCCTACTCTGTTTGAGACACTTTGATAGGTGCTATGAGAAAGACTAAAAGGTATAATGGTGGCTTTGATCTCAAATGTCTCACATCTAATGGGGAAGGTGGCATATCTGTGAGTAGGGAGGAGTTAGCCTACAAATTAACGTGGGATTTTAATTCCTAGGTGTTAATTGGGAGCTGGTGTGGAATTGACAGGAATGCTAACACAGCTCAGAGAAGAGAAGCTGGAACTGACTTCTGACCGAAAGGCTCCCCAGAGAAGGAAAGTCTGAAGGAATTAGGAAAGGAAGACTAAGGTTTGAATGTGATGAGAGGGAGAGGAGTCACGGAGCTGGGCTGGGAATCAGGGTTTGAGAAGGGAAGGCTCAGGGTGCTCAGGGACCACAGGAAAGGGAAGGGTTGCTGCTGGGGGATCAGAGCAGTAAAGTGGTGATGCCAGTGGCTGTAATTAATGCAGTGCCTACTATGTGCTGAGCCCTGCTCAGTGCTTCATGTAAGTAATTGCTTGTAATTTTCTTGACAGCTTCGGGAGGGAGGTAGCTTTAGCACCTTTCTCAGGGGAGGAAACAGGCTCAGACAAGTCAAGTTCCCTCGCACTGGCAGGAATTTCAGAGCTGCTATCAGAACCCAGTTTTGTTAGTTTCCAAGATCATATTTCTAATTGTTATGAGATGAGCTTTGTCTCTCCCGAATTCAGATGGTGAAGGCCTGATTCCGAGTGCTTCTGAATGTGACTGTATTTGGAGACAGGGCCTTTAAAGGGGCGATTAAATTAAACTAAGGGGACTGGTGAGGTGGCTCATGCCTGTAATCTCATACTTTGGGAGGCCAAGGCAGGTGGATCACCTGAGATCAAGAGTTTGAGATCAGCCTGGCCAACATGGGGAAACCCCGTCTCTACTAAAAATACAAAAATTAGCTGGGGGTGGTGGTGCGTACCTGTAGTCTCAGCTACTCAGGAGTCTGAGGAAGGAGAACCTCTTGAACCTGGGAGGTGGAGGTTGCAGTGAGCCGAGATCGTGCCACTGCACTCCAGCCTGGGCAACAGACTGAGACTCCGTCTCAAATTAAAAAAAAATAAAAAAAAGAATTAATTAAACTAAGACCATTAGGGTGAGTCCTAATCCAATCTGACTGTGTCCTTATAAGAAGAGGAATGACCTTGAGGACACTAGGAGAAAGCAGCTGTCTCCAAGCGAAGCAGATAGGCCTCAGGGGAAATCAACTTTGTTGACAACTTTGATCTTGGACTCCTAATTTCCAGAGCTGTGGGAAATCAATTTCTGTTTGAGCCACCCAGTCGGTGGTGTTTTGTTATGGCAGCCCTAACAAACGAAGACGCTAACCCCGCGTCTCTGCCTCTCAGAAGGGCCTCGTACCCCAAGCTGTGGCATCTGGATTTTCTTCTGCACATTGAAACCAAGTATTAAACATTTCTGAGTTAGGGAGAATGATGAAAATCAGTGTGAAGATTTCCCTGGGGGTGGTCTGTGTATGATTCATTCAATTTTTCATTTCAATGAAGACTTATGGAGCACCTGTTTTGTGACCTCTGCAATTACAGGGACCCCTTTTGTCTTGTTCACCTCGGGGTGCCACTTGCTCCCAGTGCTAAGCACAGCATCTGCTACATAGGAGATGATCGATAAATATTTGTCAAATGAAAGAAAGGATATGGGGTAGGTTCCGCAATTAGAGAAAGATGACAAGACAAATACAGAACTTGCGTTCAGGGAGCTGACAGTGTGGTGAGACTGGTAGTCAGTTTGTGGTTAGTTTAGGTGGAGCTGAGATT